CCCTTTGGTGCTTATATATACTATAATTTTTATTCCAAATAATAAAAGCCAAATAAATAGTGAATGCTGAAAAGTTTCTACACCAATCATGGTTTCTTTTAAAGTAAAACATTACAGGTTTAAAATGCACATACTTTTTGTTTGACCAGACTTTTACTTTTGCTTCTGCTGTTAAAAAGTAAAGAAATAGATAGAGTTTGACTAAAAAAAGAGTGCTTCGTAGAAACATAATATGGTTTTAGGTTTTAAAGGTGAAATTAGAAACTGAAAATAGATACCTTTGAGGAACAGCTTGTGCTGGAAAAGATGAATAACAATTTTAATGAGTGTCTTTATTAATTTTATGGTCACTAATTTATTTAATTTAATTTTTTAAAATGAAAATATAATGAACTTAGTATCAATAATTTTATATTTTGTTCTAAATTATTCAAATAATTTTTACTTGAACAATAAATTTAATGATTTGGAAGTAATATTTATTCACTAAAATAAATAAAATAGTTGTATTAAAATAAAAGTAAATTAATTTAGTAGAATAATTTTGTAGAAAAAAGTTAATATTATTTACATAATAAAATAATTAATTCTTTTTTTAAAAAATTTTTGGGCAATATTTTATCATTTCAATATTTATTTTTAATTTATAACATAATTAATTAAACACAATACTATATGTATATTGAAAACACTCTTTATAGCAAAAGTTTATCAAATACTGAGCTGCTTTCACCTTAAAACTGTTTTTTTCTGAAAGTTATCTTCAAAGCATTTTTAGTGGCCACAGGATAAACATTAGCCATCCAAATAAGGTTGTAAACCTATTTCTATGGTTTTTCCTGCTTCCTGCTCCAATTTATGGTGATGTTATCAATGGTGACCTTGGTGTGTGTTTCCTGGAGTACAAGTTTTTATTATATGTGAAGGCATCTGATTGAAGTAGGACTATGGTTGAATCCCTGACTTGCAAATAGAGATGGTATTGTAGAACGATACAAGGCAGACAGAATTATAGAACTTTACAAGGCAGACGGTATTGTAACCTCAGCTGTAAATTATCATATGATATTCATTCTTCAATCATCAAGTAGTATAAGCCATATTTCCACTAAAGATAGACATATTTTATTTAAATGGTAAATTAAAGAGGTCGCAAATTTGGTTCTTGATTATTCATTACGCAATTAATGAAATAGATCCAGAAATGAGCTGAACATAATTTTTTTATTCTTTAAATTGTTGTAAACTGACTGCTTCTAGGAGAATATTGGTGTTTTTGTGGACCAAAATGGGAAACTTCTTCAAGCAGACAGGATTTGCTGGTCAGAGGCCCCAACAGTTGTTATTATTCAGAGGCCATATGCAATAGCTTTATTACCAAGACGTATTGAGGTAGCTTGGTTGTATCTTAAGTGAGAGCAAATATCTATTGGATCTAATACAGGAAGTTTTGAACTCATGCATAGTTATCTGTTTTCTGCTTCAGATTCGGTCTCTTCGAGTTCCATATCCTTTGATACAGACAGTTGTTCTTCAAAATGTCCGCCGCCTTATAAAAAGTAACAATTCTGTAGTTGTTACATTGGACAATTCTGTTCATGGATTCTTTCCTGTTCCAATTGGTGCACAGGTATGCACAGTTTTCAAATAATTGTCAAGGCAACAGTATCTGATTGTAGCTCATCATTTCATGTTCTTATTACCAAAGCATGATGAGATAGCTTGATTGTACTTATTTGAGATCAAGTATCTTTTAGTTTTGGATCTGTATCGGAAGTTATGAGCTCACGCATTTTGAGCTGCTTTCTGCTCCAGATTCGGTCTTTTTGAATTTCATATCATTTGATACATGAGCTTATAAAAATTAACAATTTTGTATTTGTTACATTTGATAATTTTGTTCGTTGATTCCTTCATAATTTTGATGCATCCTTTTCACTGAAACCAATTAATCAAAGAGTCCTCAAATCCAAAATTTGATTATCTTTGACTTCCAAGTATATGTTCCTCTTTCTTTCTCCTTCCTTTGAGATGATTGTTTTCTTGCCATTGTATTAGGCTGCCCAATCCGATTTGTTTTTAAGAAGCAAAAATGATATTTCAGCTCCCTGAAGTAATTGTGTTTGATCTAATCAGTTACACGCATAGCTTAGCTCTTAAAAAGAATGCATGATAACATGCTTTTGACAGGATTGAGAATATTTAGTTACATTGCAGATAGTACAATTAACAGCATCTGGTAATTTTGAGGAAGCCTTGGCTTTGTGCAAGCTGCTTCCTCCAGAAGATTCAAGTCTTCGAGCTGCAAAAGAGGGTTCAATTCATATAAGGTGGTTCTTTCCTACCAGATGATGTGTCTTCCTTCTGTCATTTTAGAGGGTTGTCAAGTTAATAAAAATTACGGCATGTAAATAGGCAACTAACTGACATGTTGTCATTTCCTATTAAACCACAAATACAATACCAATAATTGGGTTAAGTTGTGTGCTATGAGATTTGTTGGATGGTGATATTATCTCAAGGCTAGACTGTTCCCATTTTGAGTTGTTACTTATTCTTGAATTTAGCTTACACAAATAATGCTACAATGACTTTTCCAGTATTGCTCATGGATGAAGCATTTAATGAAATTCCTTTTTGAACATTGGTTGTTCTTTGGTGACATTGTTTGTCTCTTTGAGAATTGGAATGATCACCATACATCCTGTTTTACTTGTGTAGGGTTGGTTGGCAATAGTGTGGTGGCATGTAGGGTCCAGTACATGTAGATATAGAAATTGTACAGTGTTACAGCAATCACTATTCGCAGTTGGACTTCTTCAAGTCTAAAACTTCATTCATTAATACAATTACTTAATCAATAAGTGAATTTAAAGCTCGATTTTGATACTCACTAAACTAATAATCCTAATTAATTGATGTGCTTTTATTATGATATTGTAGATATGCTCACTATCTTTTTGATAACGGGAGCTATGAGGAGGCCATGGAACATTTCCTAGCATCTCAAGTAGATATCACCTATGTGCTTTCCTTATACCCTTCTATTCTTCTTCCCAAAACAACTGTGATTCCTGAACTAGAGAAACTGGTTGACATTTCTTGGGATGGTGCACCTCTCTCAAGAGGTTCATCTGGCATGTCAGATGATATGGAATCCTCATCACCACAAAACCTGCTAGAGTTCGATGAGAATGCAGTCCTTGAGTCAAAGAAGATGAGTCACAATACTCTCATGGCTCTCATTAAATACTTGCAGAATAAGAGATACAGTATAATTGAAAAGGCTACCGCTGAAGGAACGGAGGAGGTTGTTTTGGATGCTGTTGGAGATAATTTTAAATCATATGATTCAACAAGGTTTAAGAAGTCAAATAAGGTATAATACTAAAAGTTGTGTGCTATTAAATTGGTATTTCTTTTCTATTGACATTCATGATTTGGTGTTTGCATTTCATTCACAATGTTGTTATAAAGAGAGTGTAGGTTAGGATGTTAGGGTCAATTGCACCCTTGTAGATCAGGCTAAAAGGTTTAAGAATAAATTATACCCTCTGCAATTTTTTGTACATTTTCTTTTCCGTTGTAAAAAACTTGTATATATAGAGGTGTAATATTCAATAGAATACACATCAAAAAATCATTTGTACTATTCAATAAAATACACATTAAAAAATCGTTCTTAACATAGTATCAAAGCTATAGGTTTATAAATCCTAAACTTTTTTACAAATCCTATGTAGCTTTCATTTCCGGAAAAAAAAGGAAAACCCTAAAGGGAGCCAGTCTTCACGGCCAGCCACTATACTAGCTGCCACTAGCTTTTATTACTGGAATAGAAATTCTTAAGAATAGTTTTCTGATTGATGTGTATTCCATTGAATATTACAGCTCTGAATAGCTTTCTGATTTATTCATGAACGGTACTTGGGTTAGGTTATGGCTGATTTTCTAATGAAGTGACTACGTTCCAATTTAATTTGTTTGTAACTGTGCCACCCTATGCCCAATTTAATTTGGTTGAAATAAACTTATGAAGTGAACTGAATTTTTGTTGTCTGATTGTAAGTTATCTTTTCGAATGAAAGGGGCGAGGCACCATCCCCATTAACTCAGGCGCTAGGGAGATGGCATCCATCCTAGATTCAGCCCTACTCCAAGCGCTACTTCTTACTGGACAGTCTTCAGCAGCTTTAGAATTATTGAAGGGCCTTAACTACTGTGATATAAAAATATGTGAGGAGATTCTTCAGAAAGGTAATCATTATGCTGCTTTGTTGGAACTCTATAAATGCAATTCAATGCACCGTGAAGCACTCAAACTTCTACATGAACTTGTGGAAGAATCAAAATCAAGCCAGTCACAAACTGAAATAATTCAAAAGTTCAGCCCTGAGTCAATTATTGAATATCTCAAGGTAAGTCTTCTCTTTTGACAAGATACTCTTGAATATTATTTCAAAGAAAGAGCTACTTTCTCTTGAATATGATGAAGTAAAAGACCATTTCAGTTATATAGTTTCTGAAGTAGTTTTTATTGGAGTCTCTCTAATAGCTCAATGTTTATTTCAAGGTACGACTTGAATATTTCAAAATGTCTAACTAAAATTGTTGTGTTCTATAGTGTGTGCTATAGCACACTAATTTCTGAAAAATATTATTTAAAGGAAAGAAAACAGAAGAAGGCTTGTTGTCATTTGAGAAACTTTTCTCTCTCTTCCTGGCTAAATCCTTCTGGCCTGTTTTTCTTTTTCATCGCCAATGCTGGTCTTTCCAAATAAGAGATTCCTGGTCATTTGGCAAAAGTCTTTGGATCCTCTAGATGGTGGAGCTATTGGCTTTGTCAGAGTATCAAAGAATGGCAGAGGTTCATGCTCTTTTAATTATCTTTTTGGGGAGTGGAAGTAAGGTGATTCACAAATCCATTGGGTGAATTGTATTGGAGAAAAGCTGAAGGCTCATGCCTGAGAAATTAGAAGGGGTGTACCATATCCTCTGGCTGGCTTTAGGGTCGAATAAGGGTGATAAGTTTCTGATTATTACTGAGAGTTGTGTGTCTCGCAAGCGCATCTTTGTCCTTGAAGGTTTTCAAAAGAAGACAACCAGTGGGGGTTTCTGACTGATTTACAAGATGTTGCAGGGATAACTACCTTTACCCTTCTTAGCATAAGTTGGCATATTTAGCTGTATTCTCGTGGGGTGGGCCTGTTTTCGGCAAGGAAAGAGGCTCAAGGCTTTGGTGCTCCAGAAAAGAAAATGAGTTCTAGTTAGGGGGCTAATTAGGTCAAAATTGAACTGGGTAAGGGTTTCAGTATGAAATTGTGCTTCGAAAACCAAACTAGGGTTTGTTGAAGCACTCTTGGTTCATCTTCATCGTCTTTCTCTAGCCTCTCCGGTGCAGAAGAGACATCCTTCTCGCGTGATCTGAGTTGTAACTGTCTCTTAGCTCTCTAAAAACATCAAGGATCTCTCTTTCTTGGGCAGTGGGCTATGACCGTTTTGTTGGTCTAGTGGAAAATGTTACTCTACCCTTAGCAAAGGTAAATCTGTCTTGGTGTGGTTGGTGTCAAAGGAGATATTTTGGTTGAAGATTGGGTTGGTGAAAGGAAAACTACCGTAGAACGAACCGGTTCTAGATTGCCCAAATAGGTAAGAAATTATAACTTTATTAAATATAAAATACTATATTACTAAGGAGTCTATTAGTATAGTTATAGTAATTTTATAATTTTATTCTTTTTATTATTTAGTTTCCTATTTGTATTAATAGTGTTATTTTCTAATTCTATTAATATTAATATTTCTTAGTTTACTGTTACATAGTAAAGGTTACTTGAGAAGTATTATAAATATTTTTATAATTTCACTTTTTGGGATATATTTTAGTTATTTAATAAAAATACTTTGAGAATTTTTTAAATTTTAGAATGTGTAATACTATCAAACCCGTAAATATGATACTTAAGACTTCTTAATTATGATGTTTAAAGAAACTTAGGTTTGACATTTTGGTATTTATCCCCAAATACCCAAGTAGGTAGATTGACCCTAGTTTGTCCTACATCAGAGACTTAGGTATTAGGAGTTCTGTTGGTCATGGAAGAAATTCAGTTTGACGCCTCATAATGGGTGATGAACATGTAGCTAGAATTGGTTGATTGTTGAATATAGGGGTTGAGCTTCAATCGGTTCAACCATTTGATTTTTCCTTTGACATTTTCTTGAGGATGTTTTCTTATTCTCCGTATAGATATATTCTTTATTCTAAATTTCTAATAATATTTCCTTTTTTATAAAAGAATTTTCAGTGGCTTCAAGTGCCAAGCTGCTGAATTGTTCAAGGCTATTGAGTGTAATATGAAGATCAAGGGAATGCGGATGATAAATCTCCTTAAGTTCCTAGAAATGGAAGCTAGGAGTGGGTAAAGAGAGGGCTTAAAAAACTTGTTCGTTCAATGAACTATGATAAGGGTGATAGGGTTGGGAAGGGAGCTAAGACATCTTAGATATTGATTCATTATATTAATGAAAATTCTCTCGTGGAATATGAGGTGTTTGAATGATTTAAGAAAACAGTAGATTATTAAGGCATGTTTGTGTAAATTTACTGTACATGGCCGGTAGCCCCTCTCGTACTATGTTTATAATACCATATTTACACTTTTTATTTCAAAAAATTAAGGCACATTTGTCTAAATGAAAGTTGGATGTTGTTTCTAGGAAGGTAGTTCATGGTATCTGGAAAGTAAAAGATGTTGGGTGGAAGGAGGTTTTGACGATGGGTGCTTTGAGGGGCATTCTTGTCTTGTGGGATGAAAACAAGTTAGAGTTGGTGGACTGGTGCAGAGGGTTGCTTTAAAGTTTAGGGTCATGGGTTGGAGTTGGGTGTGCATTCGGGTGTGAGGCAAAGGGGAGGTGAGGGAGACGGAGTTGCTACGATTTGGAGGAGGTTTGAGGAAGATGAGATTTACCTTGTGATGCGGAAGGAGTTAGGTTTATGTTGTCTGAATAGATTAAGAATTCATAATTTTTAAAATATAAAACTATTGTACTATTTAACAGTCTAAGACTATTATTTAATAACTTTAGATTTATTCTTTCTAGTATTCAGTTTTCCTGTTTTAATTGGAATTAATATTTGGGAAATGTTAATTAGGAGCAGTGTAAACAAATTTGTAATTTCATTTTTGAGGGAGTGTAGTTTTTCAATAAAATATTTTAAGATTTTCTCAAAATTTCTGGTTATATGAATTAAACTCTTAAATGTAATGTTTAAAAATATCTAAGTGTAATATCTGAGATACTCTATGTTATAAACCACATAGCTGTTTGGATTGATTGACATGTGGCTGCTGGAGTAAGTGGCATAATTTTTTTTTTTAAATAAAAGTATAAATAAAATTACTTCGAGCACCAAAGGGGTGCAACCCATTTACAGTAAAATTTACAACTCGGTGACAAAAGTTTCTAAGAGCTTCAGCGACCACTGGAGAATGACCTGTCATAAAAAACTTGGGTCCTTAACCATCCATCTTTTAGAACATCAAAATCCTTTGTGTTGTCTAGGCCATCAAAAACCCTTCTGTTCCTTTCCTTCCATGCCGTCCGCAAAATGGTGAGAGGGATCAACTCAGCAAAAGAATACCTACTATGCTGATACTTCCACGCCAACAGCTCCTCCCTGACTGACCCCGCTATCACCCAGTCAATGCCAAACGCTCTATACACCAAGGTCCACAGCTCGAAAACAGTAGGGCACCATAATAATAAATGATTACAGCTCTCTTCAGCCTTTTTGCACAGAAAACATGTGTTCACCAGTATCTGTCCCCTCTTTAATTTGTCAGTAGTAAGAATACACTCTTTACAAGCCTCCCAAGCAAAAAAAGAAACCCTTGGGGGAACTTTGACCTTGTAGAAAGGAAAAATAACAGCATCCTCTTCCCTCCTAACCAACAAATTATACCATGATTGTACCACGAAGGTTCCATTTTTGGTTAGAGTCCACCTCGGGCAGTCCTTGCCATCGTTGAGTGAAATAAGCGAAAGCACATTCAACATCTTCTCATATTCATAAATCTCCCAATCATTTTGATTTCTAGAGACCAGGACCTGCCACTCACCACCACTGCTGATTTCCTTTCTGTAACAGTCATCGATTCTTGCTTCTTTATTCTTGGCAATAGAAAAAATCTGAGGGTACTGAATATTAAGTGACTCACCAGCAATCCAGGGATCTGTCTAGAAATTGATTCTGTTCCCGTTCCCCGCTTTCCATGTGATGCATTTCTGAAATCTCTCTTTCCCATTCCCAATCTTCCCTATAGGCTTTTCCCATGTGATCTCAAAGCCCCACCCGCAAACCAGCCCATCATCAACCCTAAAGTTTTGGCAATAATCCTTCTCCAGACAGCCACTTCCTCATTCATGAACCTCCACAGCCATTTCCCCTATAGGGCTTGATTCATCTCAATCAGTGATTGATACCTAGCCCCATCTATGCACAGACTTCTTAAGGTCATTCCAAGCAACTAAATGGTATTTTCTTCGGTCTTCCAAATCCCCCACAGAAATTTACTTTGCAATGCTTCCATCTGCTTAGCAATGCTAACAAGAATGGTTAAAATGGGTTAGTAATAGATGGAAAGGTTGCACAAAGCGACATGTGGCTGTTGGGATGACGCATGACTGCTGGAACATAGATTATTTTATTGTCTAATTTTCTTTAATGATATAATTAGTTATTAGAGTAAGTATGAAAGTAGTTTCTAGGATAGGATGGTTATTTTCAACCAGGGAAGTAATTATTCTTAGGAGCGGTTATGTTTTCTTGTGTAAAACAGAATAGCATGTCAATAAGGGATATGAAGAAAATTCTTTTCTAAGTTGCTTAAGTGCTTTAACATAAGGATATTTTTAAGTTCTCACTTAAGCAGGCCCATATTATTTATAAAAATTCCATAACAAAATCTCATGGATCGTTATGGTTGGTGGGGTTGATTAACACGTGGCTGCTGGAGTAATATGAAACTATTTTATTATTTTGGAATCCATTAGAATAATTAGTAACTTTATTATTTTTTTCTTTTTAGTATTTAATTTTCTTATTCTTATTAGAATTAGTATTTCTGGGTTTAATTTTATTTGGGAAAGAATAATTAAAAAGTTCCATAAATATGTCTATAATCTAATAATTGAGGATGTTTTAGTTATTAAATAAAATGTTTAGCGAACTTGTGTTATGCAATCAAACTTTTACCATGATGCTTGAGAATTCTTTGTTGTGATATTTAAGAAATGCTAGATGTGATATATAAGATTTGATTCCCAAATTCATGAGTTGGTGAATCGGTCCGAATTTGTCCCACATTATCTTGGGTGGTCGGCACAACTTCGATATAGTTTTATATTCCCATGAGAGATAAGGGAAGACTTTCTCTTCAGGTTTGTTCTAAGGTGCTTAGGGGGTTCTTGGATAGATTTGATCTTATTGATCTTCCACTGTCAGGAGGGAGATGGACTTGGTCAAATTTGTGGAAGAGACAAAAAAATTGACAAGATTGTGTCAAAATCCTTTTGCATGATTCCGACTTGACTAGGGATGTAAGAGCTGGTTTTAGAGAGAGTGAGCCAGAGAGAGAGAGAGAGAGAATACAGGGAACAGAGAGAGAGATCGACAGAGTGATTTTGAGTTTCAATTCTTTGCATTCTTCATTAAATCTAGCCTATTTATAGGTGAAATCAAGGGTCAGACACGTCAGCTTGTTAGGCACACCGACCTGTTACAGATTGGTTGAATCAGATGCAACCGATGCAACAAATTTGGTTATAAAAGTCGGCATTGTAATAGTAGGCGAACAACTTATTGAAACCCTAACAACACATTTCAAATTCTTCTAAGGGTGAAATGACATTTTTGCCCTTGTGTGTATTTTTTCCATTTTACTCTTGTACATTAATTCTGTTTTTTATTCTTCTAATACAATAAACCTTTAGAAGCTTTGTGACACTACCCTCCTCTTGAACAATAACCTTGTCCCCAAGATTGGGACTTGGAAATTGATGCCGAATATACTCACAGTCTTCCCACGTATATTCTTCAACTGGAGCTCCTTTTCATTGGATAAGAACCTGATTCACAGGTTGGTTGGATGCGGTATGGTTCATTGTCACAGACTTGCTGAGGTTGCATGCTGACAGTGCCTTCATAAATATTGGGTGGTAAGTCTTGCTAGATCACTTCTATGCCCGGGACGTATCTCTTGAGTTGAGACACATGAAAGACGTGGATTCATGAGGTTGCTGGCAACTTGAATTTGTAAGTTACGTTCCCAATCTTCTGTGAAAATTGTAAAGGACCATAATATCGAGGGGATAATTTAGGCCCTGCCCTTTTCTCCTAATCCCTGTTTGAATGGTTGTAGTTTGAGCAATACCCAATCTTGGACTTCAAAGCTTCTTTCACTTTTGTGGTTGTCTATGTACTGTGGTGAAATTGAGTAAAGTTCTACCGATTCTGAAAAATGTGGAGGAGGATATCTGTAAAGTGTTTGAAAGAGTGTCATTTTTAGATTCATGTGATAAGAAGTACTGTACCACAATTCAGCAGGGACTAGCCATTTAGCCAAAATTTTTGGTTGTTGATTTGCCATACAAGGGAGGTACATCTCGAGGCATTGGTTGAGTTGTTTAGTTTGGCTGTCCATCTATGGATGATATGCAGAACTAAAATGCAAGTTTGTTTCTACTGCTGTCATCAATTCCTCCTAGAACAAACAGGTGAATCTTTTATCTTTGTCGGACACTATTACTTGAGGAATTTCAAGTACTTTGTGCACAATTTTCATATACACCTAGCAACTCCAGCTGTAGTGAAGGCTGGTGTAATGGTATGGAGTGCCCATATTTGGTTAAACGGTTGATAACATCAATATGTTATCTTTTTCCTCAGATTTTGGTAGCTGCTCGATGAAGTGTAGGGATATGTGAGTCCAAACCATTGAGGATATGGGCAAAGGCTACAGTGGACCCAATGTGGTATATTCTCTGTTTTGCAACGTTGACAAATATCACATTGTTGGACCAATTGAATGATATGACTCTTCATGTTAGGGCAATAGAAGTGCTATTTAGCCCGCTCATAGGTAGTTTTGGTACCTGAGTGTCCCCTCAACTGCTGAGTTGTGACATTGGTGTAGTAGTTGATTCCACAACTCTTCTTTGTTATCTATCACCAATCTTCCTTTGTATCTGATAATACGTTGTTACAGGCTAAAAAGGGGCTTGCTATCTGGGAAAATTATCAACTCTGTGAGTAATTGACTGAGTAAAGGGGTCACTGGTGTGATTGTTTCTCACTTTTATCATCCAAGCAGGAGCTAAGGTGGATAAAGTGTACAATAATTTCACTGTGATCATCAAGTTTTCTTCTTGAGAGGGCATTGGCAGTAGTGTTGGATGATCCTTGTTTGTACTGGATAATATAATTTAACCCTATAGCTTCATGATTCTCTTCTGTTTATTATCAAGGATACCCTTTGATTTAGCAAATACTTCAAATTGCATTGGTTGGTTCTCATGACAAAAGAGGTTCCTTCCAAGTAGTGTCACCATTGACCCACATCATATAAAACTGCCATAAAACTCTTTTGTTTGGGTAACAGTATCGTGGAAAATATCGATCACTACATTTGTAATAAGCTGGCATTGTCTTCCTGGGCTCCATCTCTCTACCCATGGCTCAGGAGTTTCGTTCGTAATTTCCTGATCCCAATCCCTCCAACAGTTGGACATCTTTGCTAGTGAAATATGAAATTCAAGATATTTCTATTATGAATTGTTCTTGGAGTGGTGCTTGTTCAAAAATTTGGTTCAACGAGCGTGGTTTAAGCAGCTTATCATTGGCTGCTGTCTTATCATTAGAACATTTCTGGTTTGTGTCAGCTTATTAGGTTCTTTAAAAAAATCTTCCTGCGAAGCACCATCAAATCTTCGACAAAGCTCCTCCACTAAATATTTCCATCGAGCTCTTTATTTTTCGCCAATCACTCCTGGTACCATACATCTACCACTTCACCGAGGAAAAGTGATGCAGCTTCAAGCTTTTTTTTTTTTCATTCGGAATGCCATGCACCAGAAAGTACTTGTCACATTTCTGGATCCACGCACGGGAATTTACATCCTCAAATAGTGAAACGTCCACTTTGGGCAGATTGGGCAGCTGACCATGTGTGAATCAGATTGGTTCACATTAAACCCTGAACCTGGTCTAGTTTGGTCCCATAAACTGGTCGAACCGGGTTTTTAGGGTATCTTTTATCTTCTGCCGAGCAGTTCTTCTTTTCGTTTCTTCATGCAGGAGAGGGGATGGCAGAATCCCTCTCTGCCCTACTGGTACCGTCGCCGCCTGAGCCGCGGAGTTTGCAGCCTCCTAAAACGAACCGCTGCCGTGCAACATCTCTACTATCATGTCCGGTTGCTGTCTGAACTATTGTTGGGCCACAGAATTCTGACATGAAATCAGTGAGCTGTTGGTCTACCTCCTTTATAGTAGGCTCCGCTAATTCCACCTTCATGTGCTCTACTACCCCCCCTTCTCCTTTAAACCTGGTTTGCGCAGCCATCGACATGTAAGTCTCCACTTGTTCAGAAAGCTCTAAACCCTCTTTGTTAGAACTCTTGATCATGATTCCGACTCGACTAGGTATGTAAGATCTGGTTTAGAGAGAGAGAGAGCGAGAGCAAGAGAGACAGAGAAAGAGAATATAAAGAACAGAGAGAAGTACAGAGAACAGAGAGAGAGAGAGAGACAAAGAGAGATTGATGGGGAGTGATTTTGGGTTTCAATTCTTCGATGTATTCTTCATTGAATGCAGCTTATTTATAGGAAAAATCAAGGGTTAGACACAGCGGTTTATTAGGTGCACTGACCCGTTACAGATTGGTTGCAACGGCTGCCGGGGAACATCCCACTGAAATCCTAACCACACCTTCCAGATTCTTCTAATGGTGAAATGATATTTTTACCCTTGTGTGTGTTTTTCCCATTTTACTCTTAAACATTAATTCCTCTTTTTACCCTTCTTCTAAGTACCCCTTTAGAGGCTTTGTAACAGTGATCATTTTTTGTTTCTGCTTTCTTTGATTTTTTCATTGTTTGATGCAAAAACTACTACCTTGAGCCACTTCAATTATTTGTCTCTTTGCCTGGAGAGTCGTGGCATCATACAGGGGGCATGCAAACATTAGTTCTAGCCTATTGAGGAGAGTGATTAGGGCCAAACTTGAGACTGTCTGTAGGGGTTAGAGGGCCAGGAAATCTATAACAAACGTTAACTGGAAGAAATCTGTAAGTATATCATCATGAGAATCAGCCAGAATGATAGGGTCAGTTTCTGGCATGAAAATTGGTGTAAGAGTGAGGCTCTTTTTTGTCATTCCTCGTGTTATTTTTCTTTTGCTTGTAGAAAAGAAGACCCTATAAAAATAAAGTGGAATATTAATCTTTTGGGAAATTTGAATAATTGGGAGGTCAATGAATATCTATGTCCTTCAGCACTTCTCTTGATCTACTGCTAGAGGGGAGAATGATAAGCAGATTTGGGTTTTAGAATCTGGGGGCTCTTACTAGTTATATCTTTCTCCTTCCATCTTGATCAGAACAGATCAATCTCAGTTAACTTCCCTGGGAAGATCATTTGGAAGCTCAATGGATGTCCTAGAATCGCTTGCTTTGCTTAGGTCTGTTGAAGGTTACATCCTCACAGTAGATTACAAAGGTGGGGGAGGATGCTTGTTAATGGGTGTTATAATAAGAGCTCCAGAGAGTCTGGACCATCTTTTGTTGCAATTCCCCTTCCATATTGCGTTTAG